TAAATATAACTTAAAAAAACAATAATATTTACTTGAAATTTTTGGAAAAATCAAGCTCTACAAGGGGATGAAGCCTATTGATTCTGAAAATAATCTGATTGAAAATGGAGGTCAAGGGGGTCTGTTAAACTATGGAAATTATAATTTAGAATGCCACGAATTATATATCTTTATCCTAGTTTGTATCTGTGTAATATTATGTATTGTGATGGAACTGATCTTATAAAATACACATTTTAGTTTACTTGTTTTTTGCCAATAAAGTTTATTTAAAAAATATTTTATTTAACATGTGTGACAATTTATGAAAATGATTAAATTTACAATAAAAACTGAAAAATGGTAGGTAAAGTTTCATATAATATTTTTTACATAAAAATCAATGTCAAGCTTTCTACATTTAAATATAATCTTAAAATATGAAGAAAAGTCAATTGACTAACTAATAATGTTTGATGTTAGAAGGTTTTCAACGTATTAAAAACAAAATAAATATTACAATAACTAAAATATTCATTCATTAATAGTTGTAGTGCTTGAAAACAGTATGATATTGATAATAATAACTACACTTGTACCGAACTTACAAATGATAAAATTATTGGAAAAGGTGAACACCCATTTTAAATTACCACAAGTCGCCACTGATATGGATTATGAAAAGTGTCCAACCAACATTCAGTCTACTCTACTAATTCACTACTTTTAGTTTTTAAACATAATACTTTTATTGTTCATTATAAAAATTCAACTATAATTACATTTCTATTCTAAGAAATATTTTGCCAGTGGAATACCTAAATAATGTATTGATACGGAAGCAATATCGAATTGAAAATACTTTAAATATAAAATGTATAAATTTATGATGATTGATTCCGTAAATACCTACATGATAAGTTGAATAAATTAATAGATACGCATTGCATATCTAACTATTACGGGACAATTATTCCGATAGGTTCAGGTTTATGAGAAAACCAAGGTTGTTGTGTGGAAAATGTATATGCACGAACTAGTTTCTGTTTGTAGATAAAAAGCTATTTGCTATATTTAAAAGTAACAGGAAAATCTTTGTTTTACATAAATACATTAACGATTGTTTGTAATATTAAATATCAAAGAGATTGGATTTCTGTATAATTTTTAGATAACATTAAAATTAATGATTGTGAATTGTTGTAAAATATAACATTGCATTCTTATTTATGTTATCAATTCAAAAAATACCAACTAAACACGACAATACGCTCGTCATTTTAAATTTTAATGCAGTGTTAATTATTTTAAATAAGGTGTGTGTTCCATGGTTTAAATTTTTAAAATATTTTTAATTTTTCAGGAAACTTCTGTCATATTTATTGGGAACTAATAATAAATACTTTTATATTTGTAGGTAGGTAGGTATGTATATTTTAAAATAAATTATTAGGTTAATACCTGTTTAATAATTTAAACAATTAGTTAATCCCTTTAAAGGTAATTCTTGAAAGTTATTTAAGCATCAAGTGTACAGGTAGTTAAATTTTAAATCCATTATCCTAGAGAAAATACTATTTATTTTAATAATTTTAATCATGATGGATAAAGGGTCTTATTTAAAATGTATTTTGATCAAATATACAAAAAGGTATTAGATATTATTTCCATACAACATTTTTCAATTTTATTTATTGATCAAATATGATAGTGTTTTGGAATAAGTTTCACTTTTTTTATAAAAAATATTAAATGTTAAAATCCAATTTTGAATTATCCTCAAAATTTTAAATTGCCTAGAGATATACCTAATTTGATTACAGCCCTCCCGAAATAGTAATGATTTAGTAGCAATTTATTATAACAAAATCATTTTACCTCGTGCAAAATGTCATACTAAAAATAAAAAACCTGGGTACAACGTTGGTTAATAATATTAATATATTGGAGAACATGTACCTTTAGATACAAAACTTGGTGTCTACAGGCAACACATATCCCTATCCATTTATTTATTTTTTAATTAAATAATTTTTATTGTTTTCACGAAACATTTTTGTTTAATTTTATGTATTGACAAAAACTGACAATAAAATTACTATCACATTTTTTATATAAAATTAATTATATTTACTAATATAGGTACTTAGGTACCTAAATATTAAAAAATCCAATTTTGAACTATACTATTTCAAATCAGAAATCTATAGTGGGCAGTGACGGATTTAGGCTTGCTGCCGCCCTAGGCCCCGTTCGATACACCGCCCTTTTTGATAAAATGAATTTCATTAATTTTTATCCAATATTTTTATTTTAAAGTCAAACATGTCAGTACCTGTCAAGCGTAGCGTTTTTGTTTTCTGTAAACATGTGAAATACACACCCGAGCTATTTATAAGTCTCAATAATGCACAATACTCCCGCTTCACTGAAGTTATTGAGATTACGATCTCATAAATAAAACACTTAGATAATAAATAAAATTCTTAAAACTTTTTATTTATATTTATAATAACCACATAAATGTAACCATATCATTAGTCGACCGCTTTAATATACATCAGCTCACATACTTTAATTTAAAAAATTCGCGAAATTTTTGCACTTGGATTTTCAGAAATTATTGAAATTTGTAGATGTATTTGAAGATTTTGCAAATATGAGAAATATCGAATTAATTTTTTTTATTTTAGATAAAACTTTCAATTTTTTAACAGTTATTTTGATGATTTAAAAAATTGAATATGGAAAAAGACAGGATTTATTTTTCATAACAAATTATATTTATAAACAAAAAATGTTCTGACACTTTTAAATGAATATCATAACGATATTCAATACCCCTGAATAAAAAAAAAAAAATATTGAGACAAAGCAAAAAGTATTGAAAAGTATTGGATTGAATAGAAAACCAATACTTTTTTCTTTATGTTAATACTTTTTTTTTAATCAGGTACATGCAAATCTTCGGTATTTTTATTTCACACTATAAACAAATAGAGAAGTTATTCGGATTTAATAATTTCAAAAATGTTTCATACACGTAAAATTAATTTCACTAAAGGAACAAAAAGTAAAGAATATGACTCGATAAAGACTATAGTTGATCGATTAAAAAATTAATATGTTACCCATACAGATTGAGAAGTAAATTAATGAATTGAATTATAATATTTTCTATCGAAATTTTTTTATAAAAACTAATCTGAACCAATTTTTGAAATTGATTGTCATTTTTTTTGTTGTGCCTCTAAAATTTTGGCATTTCATAAATTTTGCCGCCCTTCAAATTATGCCGCCCTAGGCCCGGGCCTCACGGGCCTAGGCGTAAATCCATCACTGATAGTGGGTACAGTTGAATTAATAAAAAAATACCTAGCAGGTACATACGTAGGTATTACAATCTAGTATATTATTTGTGTCAAATTGACTTCATATTTGCACAGTTTTTTTATAAATACAACTATGTACCTGCCCATTGTTTCAATGTACCTCTGCTTTTTTTTTTAAAGTAATATCAATAAATTTATAAATATTTTGATTAAAATTAATTTAAGAAAAATCAGATATTTAAGAAATTGTGTGGTAACTACCAACATTTTTTATCTAGTTATTTTATTAATGTAGATGGATAAGAAAAGTACAGAAATCAGTCAATTCAAGAACCTACCTATTTTACTAATGTATACCTAGTAGGGAGGTACATATTAATTTTTAAATATACAAATGTCGAATTTACGTAAATTACCTAATCCGAAAATGCTTCCTAAGAGAGCTAAGAGCTTTTTGAAGGTGGCGCTCTCATCGGTTTAATTGCAATCACTTCAAAACGGATTTCTGTTCAATTACATTTATTTCTTGAAATCAAATCAATCAAATTTCTTAAATGCGATTTTTTATTGTAGTCATAAGCTGGTTGTTTGGGTATTGGATATATTTATTCTATTTTTTGTCATAAAAAATAATTATATTCACAAAAAGTTAAATTTAGTAAGATAACTAGATTAAAATTAATTTAAGAAAAATAAAATATTTAAAGAATTGTTTGGTACCTACCTTCATATTTTATTTTTATATTTTATTATTATGGATAGATAAGAAATCAGAAATCATATACCTATTTCAAGTAGGTACATAGGTACTTTATCAATTTATCTGGTATCTAGCTATTAATATTAAAACATAAAGAAATAGACCATGCTATTTATATAACAGTCAGATACTATCAGTCTAAGGAGAATTCAAATTGTCAAGAAACACAAAATGTGCAACTTCTTAAAAATGTTATTAAAATGATTGTTTCGGCTATATCTAGATACCTACGGTAGGTATTTTTTTTTTCACAATTAAAATTCGTCTAAAGTTATTAAATCTGGGTGGTTCTAAATTGCCAATATATTATTTTAATGATACCTAGACTAAACAATTTATAAAATGTAAGATAATAATATTTTTTTTATTTCACCATTGGTGGCCAATTTTCACAGAAATAGAAATATCTAAATTAGAATATTTCAATCGTAATAAGAAAATTGAGCGTTATTTAAAAACCATAATTAGTTACATAGGTATATCTATTACTAGATCTATAAGTACCTATACCTCGAGTTTAGCACGTTTAGTAGGTATAGGTACCTTGTTAATTGTCAAAATATTTTGCAGTTAAATTATTATTAGTTACAACGTTATTTTTACATATGTCTGTTTTCAAATATTTTGCCCTCCCCACACAATTTGTGCTTTATTAAAACATGTCCAACATTAAATAGAGGTACAACGTTGATTTTGTTAGGTCATATATCATATGTTTGTAGGTATTATTTTCAGTTTATGTAGAAGGTTCCTCGTCATTGTTTTTTTTAAATACCTACATACCTACCTGCCTTCTTAGGTATTTATGTAAAAAATTAGGAACATTGGATGACAAAACAGTTTGACCATAAATTAACACATTAAGGCTATAGGTATTTATCCATATGATTTGAAGAAATTTGCTTTGAAAATAAATGTTTGGTACTTACTGCTTTGTGATTCCACCGAGCAAGAATCGCTCAAAGGATGCGGATTCATAACGAGGCTGGGTTGAACCAACCCCCTGTGATGCATTGGTAACTGGTGCATTGCCAGTCCCCCGGTCTCTGACATCACCATACGAACTGCACTTGAAAAACCGCTCCACCAAAACTCACTAAGACGTCTTTGTTTATGCGGCGCGCAACTATCACATTCACAAATCAAGAAGCATCACCCTCGATAGTCAGTTGTAGACTGACAAGTTAATCGGACGTACTTCGGCTCGATTCGGTTCTGTCATAAAAGTGGAATCTATCCCCTCCAAAGATCACCACGCCTACCGAGTTTGCGTATTGGGGATTTCTATTGGTCGGAGTGGTGGTGACCCTACACAAAATGGTCGACGAATAATCAATATCGCTGTTAACAGGGACGGCCCCCTTTATTACAGCCTTCTTTGTGTTGACTTTACTCGCTGCTCGGTCTGCTGTGTGAATATAACCTTGTTGTATGACGAGTCTGGAGATGTAGAGCAATTTTCTTTTGGTGGACAGGGTGACAGCGAAATTATTGGTGAATTTGTGAATAGCTGTCGATAAATCTTTGAAAAGTATAGAACTCTAGACATATAAGCAATATCTATAGTTCTATTATTAGTTATCTGCCTATAGTTTACTAATTTTATAGTTTCCTCCAGAAATTAATATTGGAAAATTTATTTAGCATAGGAGAAGTTGCCCCTATATAGATACCGGTCATCTAAACACACTAAAGTATTTCTGGCATAGGTATGCCACCAATCTGCCTATTTGCCAAAATATATTACAATATTTATGAAATATTCACAGAATATGTTTCATAATCTACATTCTGGAAATATATTCCAGTCCAGTGGCGGCTAGTGGTAATTTACAATGGGTATTCACTTTTTCCAATAATTTTATAATTTGTAGGTTCGGTTCAAAACTTTGTACAAGAACCAATATCTTTGTTTTTAGAAAAAATCTATAATTGTAGAACAAATTTCTACAATTATACATTTTTTCTCTACAATAAATAGTACATACCTATAGGGACAGGGACAATTTGTAGTAAAAATTTCCAAATATTTGTAGAGAATGTATTGTAGAGTTATTATCTACAATATTTAGTAAAAATATCCAAATGCATCATAAGAATTGTTCTATAAATTGTTATCATTTTTGCTATTCATTGTATGAATTTATATTAAAAATGTATTGCGTTTTATGAAAATAAATACGAAAATTTTACACAATAAATAGTAAAAATTCATACAAATTGTAGCAATTTTTAATAAAATTTGTAGTAGTCTTTTATAATTATTATAATTATAACCCAGAAAAAAATGTTCCTTAATAAAATATTCAATTTATTGGTTTAATATAAAAGATACAAATTCTTAATTACATTATGTAATTAATAACAGTAATAATAGCGCCCTCAGTCTCAGTTGGCTTTTCTGCACCTGAAAAATATGTAAAAATTAATACCTATTGAACTGTTCATACCCTTAAAACGGGGATATTTATCACCTTTACACTGATTTGGATAATAAATGACTTAAGTTAGATAAGTAACAAAAATGAGAAAGTAGGTATGTCACAATTAAGACAAAAAAACACCATTGAACTTGGCACAACATTCGATCGTTGGGCACAACATTCAATCGTTGACCACAACTATTTTTTTTTAATAATCTACTAAGGTTATTTCAATTAGTTATCTAAAGGTAAATTATTCAGAAACAATAATAAATGTACTTACCACTAATAGAAGTTATTATTAAAATTTTCTCAAACGCATCGGTGCTTATAATAAGTATTATAATGTGTTATGAGTACTCATGTACCATGCTTTGTTTTGTGAACATGGCGAACGGCTACTGCTGTCTGGCCATTTATGATCGACGTCAGAAAACGTTGGCCAATAGCAGAATTCTGTTTTATTCACATGACTCAGAATTTCTACAATATTATAGAATATTTTTGAACAAAATTTAATTTTTTTCATAAGAAGGGATGTAAAGTATTACTATTTTTGTAGAGAAAATTACTATTTTTTGTAGAGAAAATTACTATTTTTTGTAGAGATAATTATTAATATTTGTACAAATTTTTACAGAGGTTAGTAGTAGTAATTACGATAATTGTAATAAATTTCTACTTCTACAAAAAATAGTAAAATATACCTACTAAACATTGTGGACTTCTTTCCTATTGTTGTAGCATTTTATTCGACAATTCAATTGCTACAATAATGAATAGTTTTTAACTATAAATTGTAGTAAAATTTTCTACAAAAAGTTAAGTATTTTTCTACAAGTCTACTACTTTTCTAGTCACGTTTTTTTCCGTGTTGTTTTAATACTATTATAAGTATTTTTAGAGGGTATTTATTAAGGACGCTTTATATTTATTACAGATACTTTTATTATAAAAATAATATTACATTTTGGGCCATGTTGACATCGAGAATGATCGTTTACAATTAACATGAAGTATGCCATTACATAGTTATAAGTACGTTCGACATCAAACAACCTACCCCCTAAATATTTTCATTCATTGATCTAGGTGTATATAATAGGTTCAAGAGTGTGGGCGCTTTTATCGCACGACCAACTCTCGTGGTTCTGTTTCTGTTTAAGGGCAAGTTCAATTTCGTTTGACATATAATCACGATTTTTTTTAGGTTAGAAAATTGCATTATCGATTTTTTCATTCGAAGTAATACAAGACGTCACTTTAAATGCCTATCTCTTTATATCAATAAATATGTAACACGATGAATTTATAAAACGTATGTCACTAATGAATATGTGGCGGCAACTGACGGCAACACCGTCAGCTACTAGAGTATATACAGGTCCGGTATAAGCCATATACAAATGGAAAATAATAATGTAATGTTTTGATTGAATTAAATAAAAATTAAATGTTTATTTTTTAAGTAAACGACATTTTTAAATGAATACGTCTTCAATCAAAAATAATATAGGGTAATACTCAAGGGTATACGAGTGTACTGGACAAGAGATAATTTTACCCTTTACTCCAGTTTTTTGTAATGAAACCAGCGGTAAAATAGATATTTGTGTACCAAGGCTGTGTTTGGCCGTTCCAGTATTAGCTAGTTCTGGTTAAGTATAAGAGTAATAGGCAAGAAATGGGTGTTCAATCAAACTTGACATCGAGATAGATGTCACATAAGCAGGTGTACTGAAGATGAACTTTGCAGGACCAAGCATCAGATAGGTATAACACTTGATATTCTGAAAACTACACTGAATAAAAACGAATGGAAGTGTCAGAAGGAGGCTAAAGGCAAAAAATAGACGGAACAGAGCCGAATAGATAGATAAGTAATATTTTAGCCAGGAGAGAGTCTATGAGTGTTATAAATATAGTTAATTTATGAATGTATTTTTAATGTATATTTTCATTTTTGGTATAAAACTATGGCTGACATAATAAAACTCTTAAAAGTATATATTTTTTCAATCTTTATTACTATACATTATTTAGTTTTCATTTATTCTCTCTGACCTAGGGAAAAGGTTAGAAAACCCTGGTCATAATTATTGTTTACAATGTGACATAGCATCAAATCTGCCTAATCTCGTACCATTTTTTTAAAGTATCAAGGATATTCTTGGTGTAGCTAATCATCATGTTTCGAGTCATTGAACCTAAAAAATAACAAATATCAATAAATAGAATTCGGAATTTATTCCAAAAATATTTTTCTTTGGGAATTATATAGGATTTCTCGTTAATATACTGACAAACTTTTTAAGGTGGTAAGTGCATCAAAATAAACATATTTTTGCTTAATAAAATAAAAATAATTTTATTGCCCAACAAATTAATCCAACTAATGGTCGAAATAAATATCCCAATCAGAACAAAATTAATTAAAATTTGAGCACATTAGCGTTATAGGTGAATTTCTTCCCAAGTTCGTTCAAATACTTGCTGTATAAAATGTTTTATGATATCTAATGGCTGTTTGGGGGATATTAAAATTTATTTAATTTATCAAAAATAGTACATCAATAGTGTTAAGCAATATTTTATAAAAAAATGTAACACTGGAAACTACCCTTCTATTTTCGAAAGAAGCAGAGATCGTTCAATACCTTGAATGGGATACAGCTCATCTATTTTAAATGAAAGGTGCTTGAGAAATCGCCGATGAACATTTCCCAATGATATTTTATGAATATTGTAAATAAGGTTCCAGATAAGAGATGCATATTCTAGCTTGGAACGAACTAAAGAAAAGTAAAGGATCTCCAGGCTTTAAGAATTTGTAAAAAAACGAGTATTACAAATTAAGAACAAGAACCCTAAGCTTTTCAACGCAAAAGCAACGGTATTTTCAATATAATCCGAAAAAGTAACTTTTTGGTTGAATAACATACCTAAATCTTCAATTTGTGCACAAGTTGATAAAGGTAGGCCGTTAAATAAATAATCAAACTCCACCTTGTTAGTAGTATAGGAACATACTATACATTTAGACACATTCATAAAAAGCTTGTTTTCATTACAACGATGCCCAGTTATGCCTTAAAAAGTGACAGAATTGATGAGATTGAGGTATTTTTAAGTCAGCAGCGAACAGCAGGTGATTACATGTTAAGTTTATTGCCAAGTAAGTCATTTATAAATATACTTACTACTACTGGCCCCAGATTGGAGCTCTGTGAAACTCCAGATGTTGCTGTGAGGGGTGAAGATGAAAATCCGTTGTAAAAGACATGATTAAAACGATGATTTAGGTAAGATGAAAATAATCTCAACAGCGACTGTACTGTACATTATGGGCAGGTTGTACAAAAAATATTCTAAACTCATTTTAACTAACAAGAGTTTTATTTTTAACTAGTTATATTCAAAAACAAATGTCATTTTTTAAAACTATGTTTAACAATAATAACCGATGAGTATACGACAAGGTTCACAGTTTAAACTAAGTCTACATTTTAACTGCCTATTGTACAACCCGCCATATGTACAATTAAAAATTAATTGTATTTGTTTAAAATGCATTTGATTCTGTTGATCGAAACCATTCGATAAAAAAATTAAAAAGTATGGGTATAAAGGTGGTTTTTTATATCTATGCTATAAAGCATGCATTGGAGTAGCATAGCATAGTATCAGGTCAGAGAGGTTAAAATTAAATAACATATGCAGTGGGATTCTTATCTTTCAGTAAGATTTTATTGTAATGTCTCTCTCTATTCT